AGCACTCGGTTACATACACAAAATGCACACAAACAAAGGGGGAAACAAAATTTGAAAAGAAAAAGTGCATCAGAGAACACAGGCAAATGAGTTAATTACTTAAAGTGAAACAAACGTCAAAAGGCATCACTGTTCATAGCAACACTGGTCACTTTAAAGCTTAACGCCACATTGAGATAACACAACTTTGATTAATAAATGCATTTCTGAATGCATTTAGAAAGCAGATATACGCACACAAAAATACAAACAGTCTAATTCACAGCAATGTTAAACACTGGGTGCAATAAGTGTTGCCAGGGAAGGGTATTCCCTGTGGCACTCAGCTGCATATCAAACAGGAAGTTGACAGCTCAAAGTGAGAGAGACATCATTTACAACAAGATGTTGCTTTTTCCATTAAGTAAACGTCGGCCTCAGGGCTGCTATGATGTCTCAACCAAATCATGTTGCAAAACATCTCTAGCCAGCCACAAACTACCACGCAAATATCCACTCTACTGTTTACTGTATCTTGCATGTTTGTGTGGCATCCTCTGGATCAATTCATACCCAATCTTTGTCCATCTTAAAGAGGAACCTTCTTCAAACATCTAATGTGGGGTTACTGAGAGCAGTCCTATAACAAAGAAAGCCCAGCTAAAGTGGAGTATTGCTGAGTGTGTATGTAATGAGTTAGTAAGTCTGTCACTTTAACTGACCCAAGTGGAAAGTCACGGGACGTTGTGCTTATGCAGCAGCAGAGTCTGCAGGGAGATCAGACACGATGGGGATCATTTATTAATCACTGATGCGTTGTCACACACTGACACTAGCTCATTCTGTAATAAATGATAGACAATATCTTCTGTATGTTAATTTGGAAGTGTCACCATTCTAATTTAAATATTTTTGTATGAACAAAAGTGTTAGAGTGGCAGAAGTGCGTCATGCGTCAAAGTGCAAATTCTGTCATGGAGATTAATATGATAAGCAACAACTAGGGATGGGATATCTTATGGTTTGCGATATACCGGTAAGAATTAGTTTTCCAACGATAATAAAGATAAAGTCTAGTTGTTGACATATTTCTGTGTGCGACCGTGCGGAGTGACATCGCGGAAGGCGGACGTGAAATTGAGGAGGAGTAGCCTATATCGCTAAATGAGGAGCTTGAGCTCCTTTTACAATCTGTAACTGGTTTGGTTAGGGATGTACAACAGTGCACAGAAAATCGGTTTGAATAAATGTACCACAGTAGCACATGTGGGATTCAGTTTTGCATGTGTATGAGCCTGTTTACAAACCTGTTGTCCAACAAAGATATAATTTATTGACATGCTTTTTCTCCAAATTAACTTAATAACATAGTCGAGTGTTTGAAATACTTCTTTTTGTGACCAGACATGGTTTCACATTACAGAATGATAGCATATACAGTGATAAAGGCCATGTCGATTAACATTGCATTATAGATATACTTTCCTTACAAAAATACCCAAGATTGAAGAACACAGATAAACCATATTTTGTGCAATCGTATGTTTAATTTCCTCAAGTTTCATCAGTTAAAATGTCTCTTATCTCCGTTGTGCGTTTTATTCAGTGATAACTGGATACCTTCCTGGAGCATCGTCAGTAGTATTTCTTCTGCTATGGATATGTGGCGTTTCTGTGCAAGAGCGCCCTCCGGCTTCCAGTATGAATTAAACAGTCTTTACATTAGGTGTGTACTCATTAATGTTCACCCTATTTTGGGTAAAAATAGGAAAGATAATACTTTTCTCTAAAGAAACAGGATTCCCGGAATTATCGTCATTGATATTGTTATCGTATTAAATAGCAGAAATATCGTGATATATTTTTAAGCCCATATCGCCCATCCCTAGCAACAACGGCAACCTAAACTGCAGCTTTTCAAAAAATTGACAAAAAACGTATTCCATCTGCACAGAAAAGTGTTCGGTGTCACTGCTGTCAAGCATAAGGTTAGACAGCAGATAGATAGATAGAAGTGAGTGCCAGGGTAACCTGGATATCAAAACTAGGGATGCGCCCATCCGATATTCATATCGGGTCTCGGCTCTGATAGTGGCATTTTTCTCGGATCAGGTATCGGTCATAGAGGGCCGATCCAAATCCGAGATTTTTTTTTTTTTTCTCGATTGTGCGAATTATTCTGTGTTACTTCTGAAGCCATACGATAGCTTAATGTGAGCTACATATGAATATTTAAGTCAGGCTGTGACGCCATGTTGCTTCAAGTGCATCATTCAGCACACCGGATGCACACGTTGTAAGCGCTTCGTGCTCATAGATTGTATAAAAACAGTTCGTGCTGCACTGTATTTGTTTTGTCCTATCGTATCTATCATATATTGTTGCCTTATTAAAAAATATGCTATACATTCAAAAGAAATGTATTTTAATTTTATAGTATATGCTTAAACATATATATGAATCAACCCTCTACACTGCGAGTAAATCACTCGCATATGCAACTAAATCTTCACTCTGGGCGATTAAATGATGTCTAATATTAGCCTATGGCTAATAAATTCTTAGATTTTACTCGCCAGTGTGTGAGTTGGAGGCTGAGTATATGATTAGCACAGATATATTTTCACTCGCCGAACACTCTGACTGAGCGCTTCAGAGTTTCACTCTCCGTCAAGCGATCTGTGCTATTTATTATTTAATCTCAATGGATGCGCAGCGCACCTGTGTTTGTGTATTTGGCGTAACGTAAACTCTAGTGTGAAGGCGCATGACTTGCTGACGCTTTCTCTCACACGTGCAGAGAGAGAGAGAGAGAGAGCGAGCGAGCGAGCGAGAGAGTCTTACATAACATGCAGAATTGATGAGATACATGTAAACGATATTCTTTGTTTTATTTTCCTGTCAAAATAATGGAGTTCCTTTGGAATTCTTCAGCTTTTAAGAACTGCCGGGTTTTCCGGTAGTGGGCGGAACTAATGCGTAAATGACAATCTCATTGGCTGGTGCTCACCTATTATCCTCCCTGTTTTGATTTCAGCAAATCAGTTCGAGCGAACGCACACAACCTGATTAATATTCATGAATACAGAAGCTTGTTAATCCTTGGTGTGCTTTATATTGTTCTTATTAGTAGAATTCGTATAATAATATCTTATCAGTATTATTGTTAGTTTTTTTCTCTCTAATTTTTTTACAGGAACACTGAATGACCAAAAAAAAGCACCAGCACCAGTTCAAAGTTATATATATATAAAGTATAGTATTTCAGTCTGGCGAGTAAACAAAAAAATGTACTAGCCAATGGCGATTCAATTGCCAAAGTGTCCGTAGAGGGTTGTGAATGTTTTTAATTAATGGATTTTATAATAATACAAATACCAATGTGTAACATTTTACAATATTTAGTGCAACACTTTTATTTGTTCCCCACAAAATATAGTTTTTTCACTAAATGTTTGTATTTCTAAAATTATTGTGCACTGATTTTTCTAGAATAACTTTTGCTGCCGAATTATCCACTAACCTAGTTTATGATACATTTTTGTCATATAGATTATAAATATACATAGGCCTATATTTTTTCATATTTATTAGATTTTTCTTTATAATGAAGTTGTCTGTATCTAGTAGATTGTGAAAGAATGATTATCAGTTCCACACACAGAGATATATAAATTCTACATTTATTTCAATGGGGGAAAAAAAACTTCACTGGTATCGGATCGGTATCGGCTAATACCGAACCCTAGGTATCGGAATCGGTATCAGAGGCAAAAAAGGCGGATCGGAGCATCCCTAATCAAACCATATGGGACAAACACACTTTGTCATGCTTGTTCATGTCATTATACAATGCTCTCAATTACTCGACCCTCCAAAATAAATCATGAGATGCACAGCTGTGAAGCGAACGAATAAAGCTTCCAGTGTCACTTCATATGACAGAAAAAAAACAGTATGGTTTAAAGAAAATGCAAATATATTCTCCTCATCATTATAACATGGAAATGTAATGATTGTTATCTTATTAGATTCACAGCTTGTGCCACTATTCTTCAGAGCAACTCACATTACTTAATGAAACACAACAGAATACTTTAGTACAGTACAGTCTTACGTAACAAAAAATAGCTCTTTTTAAGTGTCCTCTGAAACAAACAGTAGTAGGGCAACGTAACCTGACGCGCACTGTTTCTACGTGAACATTTTGTCTCACAGAGGAAGTAGAAAACAGGTTTCTCAAGTTCCATAATGCTGGACACTGGTACATTATCTAGCTCTTTATCTCTTGAAACAATATTTCCTTTTCAAAGGGAAGGCTATTCCCTGCACATGCCTTTGAGCCAAAAACATCTGCGGCTCAATGAGTGTGTGAGCTTGTGGCTCAAAATGAGGGGTGTTTGAAATCCTGCAGGACGTGGACACTTGCATCTCAGTCCTGCAAGCCACCTCAAGAAGGTTTTCTACATTACAGAGAGCGCAAATCCCTTTGGATTTGCCTGAATTCAAACTAAGGGTCATAAAAGAGGATGAATGGAAAATGCCGGTCTCGTTGGTCATAATGTCCCATGTCATAAAAGAGAGCAAGGCTGGACAGATACGACTTCATGTATAGGCCTATACATTAGCTTTTACATTATTATACAAACTATCCATGGCATGAAGAAATAAGACATTTTCCCTCATAGTCAGACTTATGCATAGCACAAGCTTTTAACAAAGCATCATATGTGCTTATGAGTCAAGGTTACTCTCAGTAAAAGTCCAAAACTTAGAGGCTGCAGCATCACAATCCATCATTTCAGAGATCTCATCAGCAATGTACTTCACTGTGGACCGAACCAAGCTGGAAACTGCTCTTCTCCTATTTCTTAAGATTTAAGCGCGATAAAAGCCTACGAGGCACCCGATTGTAAAGAATGACTTTCTTCCGCTGCAGGGAACGCGTGCTCTATGTTCGACTCCACCGGCACGAGTAAACACTTAGAAACAGCCAGGTAAATACATGAGAGCTTACTCACCGTTTGGTCCATATCTTTCGGAATTAATTTTCACTTGTTCCAGCGTGAGTCCAGTGTTTTCGTTCACACCGAAGTTTGCTAAAACTTCTGATGCAGATTTAGTGTGGGCGTTTTCCATCTTGAGGAACTGTTTACTACGAGCACTTGAACGGCATGTATTTGTGACAAATGACACCGAGATCACGGACGGACTATGAGAAGTGGCCAAATTTCCACCGAGGTGTTTTCAGACCGCCAAGCGGAGGTGGTGGTAGCCTGCGCAGACGTCCACCTGCCCCTTCTGCAATCCGCCGGTTTGAGCCCGTGAAGCTGCTGCTCCGTGTGTGCTCGAGCGGTGTGCGTGCGCGTCCTCTGAAGGTGCGCGAGGTTCCCGCCTCTTTTTCCGTGAGCTCGCGTGTTTGGGCACTGTCCGCGAGCGCTTATTGGCTCGCGTTACCTGAGAGAACAGAAAGGCTGCTCACGTTGTCGGTGTGTGTATGAAAAAGCCAAACCGCCGTAATCGAGAACTGCGCCAACCTAATTTCCGTGTCAGGAGGAGAATACACGGTGAGCAGTTTGTCGCGGATGAAGGAAGCTGTCGAGGTGCCTCCGAGCGCGTCATCTGTGAGCTTGTCAAACCGGCACAGCTCAAACTTGTGTCAAGATTGCCTCTGAATCTGATTAATATATCCGGTAGATATTAACCATTAACTGGCCTTTACATATGAAACAAAAGTAGGCTATCCACAGTGGAGAAGCCTTTGGCATTTACAAACTACTTTTGCGTTTGCTTACTGAATGCATAGCTCAGTATAACGTGTTTACAGTATGTGAGGGATAAACCCTTTAGCGATTTAGTTTAGTTATAGATTGTGTAACCTTTATCGCTTTTTAGCTGAATCATAACATTTACTAATATTGCAAACTGCTAAATTATCATTAAAAAATGCACCTGTAAAGCATCATAAAAATGTAAAACACTGAGAGCTGCCTCACAAGGAAAACAGTGGACTGCACAATGGGGGAGATGGATTTAGAACAAGGTGCTCCAGTTCTTTCCTGGCCGATAGTTTCTCTTCTGTCCCTGTGCAAAGCCTATATATAGAAAATATACACTGCTAAACCCATGTTAAAACAAGAAACTTTATAGGTTATATCATCCTTGCCTGCAGAAGTGATAGGAGATCTTTTGGAAAATGAGGTAATGGTTAGGTCAAAGCTGGCATCACAAATTAACCTGGCAGCCCCATCTGGCTTGGCTTTTCACCTCTCTGACTGTTTTCACACTTGTCTGAACCCGAGTTCAGTTCCACCAACCTCCCCCTGTCCTTGCTGGTCTCTTTTCACATTGTACTTTTGAGGCAAACCACAGTGCGTCTGTGTCATGAATGACCCCACCACAAAGCCAATTTCATTGGTCAATTTGATCATGCAGTTGCATCAAGAAAAGTTCAAACTTCATGGATTCAGTTCTGAATTCAGAAATATCATGGATGCTATTTATAAGAATGTGATACTAAGGTTAAAGTTAGGCTTAGGGCAGTGGCTCTCAAACTCCTCCCTTTTTATTTTAATTTCCAGAAATGATGAATGTCTTTAATTATGAAATTATGAATGTCCGTACATAAAAATAAGTAATAATTATGTAATTATAATTAAAATAATTAAACTTTGAGGGTGAATTAAAATAAGTAATATCTATTTTTGTTGTTTTCATTTATGTTAAATTATGTTTTATTTTAAAACATTTTAAGTCATTTTGAGGCCCCCTTGGAAATTTGCCGAGGCACCCTAGTGGGCCCCGGCCCCCTGGTTGAGCACCACTGACTTAATGCTGGAATACACTAAATGACTTTTAAAATCTGAACAGATTTTAAAACACTTGGCATTACCAACTTTGTACAAAGATACAGAGGAAAACTGGCCATCATACATTAAACGACTGAGGATCAAACACTACCAGACTTTAAAGTCTTTTCGATCACAACAAACTCATGCAGAAACGTGCACCTTTTTGCTAGGAGACACTTGACAAATGAAAATGATGTGTGTTTCTTAAGATCAGCTCAAAATATCAAACATGTTGATGTCCTCCGACTGGATGGAATCATAGTCTGAAACGAAAAAAATTGAAGTCTGTGACCATCATACACTACGGGATTTTCTATGAAATCTGTCAACTCAGATCTGCAGACTGGTTCTGACTTTCGGCAACAAGCATCAATTTCTCCACACTGTAAATTGGGGTAAAATCGGGGCAAAAATCATGTAGTGTATTCCAGCCTTTAGGGGTTAGTATTTTAGCATTGTGTAGGCAATCACCATAGGACCAATAAAATCTTTCGAATGGTCTACAGGGTGGGGTATGTGCTTAACTGGTTTGGGGGGTGAAATCAATCAGTACTAGTGTTATTGTTTACTGTAACTAGGTAACAAGTTAGAATGAGATAATGCCAGCTTTACAACTTAATTTTATTTTTTTTATTGTGACAGATTGTCCACCACAGTTTCTCAAGGACAGTAGTGACTGGAGAAGCAATGTGTCTTGAAACTTTGAATCAATTGTTTTGCAAATTGATTCACCGTTTCAAAGTGCTCAAAAACGTCACACATTGAAGACATCTGCTGGTTAAAGCCATAAAAATGCAAAAAATATGCTCAGTGGCATGTTTTACAAAACCTTTATTTTTTATTAAGTATTTTATATTATCATTCAGTAAACACCAAGAAGTAAATACCAATCAAGTTTAAAGGTATATTATTTGTATATGTCTGTTATTCATTTGTAGCATGTATTTGTGTTTGTAACAACAGACATAAGTTTAAGAAATGACTGAAAATTCTCAAGTTATAAACTAAAATGATGTACACCTTGCATCGATAGACAACAAAAACATTAATCCGCTAATAGCTCTATTCTGCAGTTAAGGTTCTGCAGAGTAATGCTGTCTTAACAAAGCCATCTCAGAGAATACTGTGGATACCTACTTTAAACCCATTGCCTCTAGAACACAATGTGCTTTCAAGGACTATATTTATCTTAAATGGCCCAGGTCTCTTTCCACCTATCCAGGTCGCAACCAGCTTCCACTCAAGTACAGGAGCTCTGTTTAGCTTTGTGTGTTGATCTAGGACCAGCTTTCACCTCTGAAAAACATAACCTTCATCATTATGTTCAGAAGCAAAGGGCAGTAGCCCTGTACTCAATAATGATGTTCTTAGAAGTTATACTTCATAAACTGAACTTGAAAACAGCCTACTTTACTTTGTCGTCGTACCGCACTGATGATCAGTATTCAGACCACTTTCTGCATTTAATCAATTCAGATACTGACTCCCTTCTTGACTCCACATAGAGTTGGATAGAGGTCTCCTTGGGTTAAGCCAGTGGTTTAAGGCAGCACACTAATGCAGATTGATGGATCAGATTGCCTTGATGAAAGGAATGTTAATAGGACATCATTCGCATCATTTGCCACTTTCCGTTTCCAATACAGTACATACAGGTTTAGCATTGTGTGTGATGCATCTTTTTCAGCATCTTTATCAGTTGCAGTGGGACAGTTCTCTCCCCTGTCATTTTTCACTCTACATTAAAGAGATTATTACGTTTTGAATATGGATATTTTTCTTACAAAAAAGCATCGATTCGCTACAGGAGGCCTTTTGTTCACCCCTGGAGCTGTGTGAGACACTTTTTTATGGATGGGCACTTTTTATTTAACTTCTTTTGGACTGATGCACTGCAACACCCACTGAATGCCATTAAACAGCTTGAAAGATCAAAGACCATTTTTAAAATAACTCTGACTGGATTCGTCTGAAAGAAGAAAGTCATATACACCTAGGATGACTTGAGGGTGAGTAATTTATGGGCTAATTTTCATTTTTGGGTGAACTAACCCTTTAAGGAAAGTTTCTGTCAAACAAATGAACTGTATTGTAATGCCAGCTGTAAAAAAAAAAGCCACTGCTGAGCAGCAAACAGGTGTTTGAAGCTACTGGAGTGTCAAGATCCTCTCCATGCAGACTGGCAGTTGTGTGTAAAGCTGCGTTTCAGTCACCACTAACCAAACCTCACAAAGAGAAACATGCACAGTGGCTGTAGAAATACATGAAGACTTGTTTTTAAATAGTTTTATTCACTTACGAATGCTGCAGTACAATGGATGGTCCAGATAAATGGATTTCTGATAGTTGATGAATGGCCATCCTATTCCAATGAGACTGCAACATCAGCAAGGAGGCGGTGGGTGATGATTTGGATTGGAATATTAGGAAGTGAGATGTAAGGTCATTTTAGGGTGTCAAAATGACTTCTGCAAGATATGTGGAGTTCATAACTGACCATTTTCTGCTGTGGTATAAAATAATAATAGTGCTCACAGAAAAATAAAAGGATTTTCATGCTGGACAATACACTATCCCATGCTGCATAAATACCATGGTGCTAAACAGTTTGAAAATGTGTTTCCACAGCCACTGTGGGGAGGTTTCTCTTTGTGAGGTTTGGTTAGCAGTGACTGAAACGCAGCTTAACACACAACTTCCAGTCTGTATGGAGATGATATTGAGACTCCAGTAGCTTCAAACACCTGTTTGCTGCTCAGCAGGGGCTTTTTTAAAGCTGGTATTACAATACAATTAATTTGTTTGACAGAAACTTTCCTTAATAAATCTTTATCTGACCTAGATCTTCTGTGCTCTAAGTCACTCACAAATCTTTTGACAGTTCAATAATCACTATTTGCTTTTCGCAAAATATTATTTGTTTTGATGCCTTTTGCAAGACATTGCATGGTTTCATACTTTTCATCTTCAGAAATATATTTCTTCCTCACCATATTGAATGAGAACTTTGACTTGCTTAATAATGTGGAACAGCCTCTTTAAGTAGGGTGTCCATTTACCTAAGAAGACTTGGCAAACTATTGAACAAACCTGTCTGAGATTGATACCAGTTATCTAAAAAGATGTGAAAAACACCACAAACAAAAATCTGACTCTTCATTGTACCGAAATCCTATTGATATGTCACTTGCATAATAATTTGGAACACAGTGTATATATACAGGTGCATCTCAATAAATGCCAGCTGTAAAAAAAAAAGCCACTGCTGAGCAGCAAACAGGTGTTTGAAGCTACTGGAGTGTCAAGATCCTCTCCATGCAGACTGGCAGTTGTGTGTAAAGCTGCGTTTCAGTCACCACTAACCAAACCTCACAAAGAGAAACATGCACAGTGGCTGTAGAAATACATGAAGACTTGTTTTTAAATAGTTTTATTCACTTACGAATGCTGCAGTACAATGGATGGTCCAGATAAATGGATTTCTGATAGTTGATGAATGGCCATCCTATTCCAATGAGACTGCAACATCAGCAAGGAGGCGGTGGGTGATGATTTGGATTGGAATATTAGGAAGTGAGATGTAAGGTCATTTTAGGGTGTCAAAATGACTTCTGCAAGATATGTGGAGTTCATAACTGACCATTTTCTGCTGTGGTATAAAATAATAATAGTGCTCACAGAAAAATAAAAGGATTTTCATGCTGGACAATACACTATCCCATGCTGCATAAATACC